AAAGGCCAAACGGCCTCAACAAAATACAAAGGTATAAAAGCAAAAATTACAAGGCACCTAAGAAGCCTAACCCTCACCGGAGCCCGCCTCATCACCGAGCCCGTCAGAATCTTTCCTGTCTTTGGATCTATCCGAACCATCGGAATCTTCCTCATCCTCGGGGTACGCCAAATTCTTCGCCTCGGCCGCAAGCCTCTTAACATTTTCGAGCTCAGCCGATAAATTGAACCCCCGGGCATGAACCTTTTCGAGAGCCTCCCTCCGGGATTGCCACTTCACATAATTGACTATGGCCTTTAGGCATTACTGAGTTGCCTCAGCATCGGCTTTGTACTGGGCCACCATCTCATCGGTATCGACCTTTGCTATTTTAGCCACTGACTTGGCTGCTTTAAGCTCCTTGGTGAGGGTTTCCCGATCGGCAACAGCCGAGCTCAGTTGGGACTAGAGCTCCTCAATTTTCCAGGACCGTGCCTCTGCTTTCTCCTTCATCGATCGAAGTTGGGCCTCTGCCGAGGCCAATTGCTCCCGGGCTGTTTCCTTTTCCGAAGCCAGCCGGTCCATCTTGCCCTTCCACTCCTCGGCCATGGCCTTGACTTTGTCCATCTCAGCCCGGAGCTGGTCAACCCAATCAATCTTCTGCTGGACCAGTAGATTCTGACCGTTAGACACCGTGTCTAGCTCATCATCACTAACTTCAAAAAATTTTACCCGTTCCAACAGGTCGGTATGTTCTTTCTAAGCCTTATCCAACTCGGCTCGGAGGTTCTTGATTTCACCCTCACGTTGCTCGCTGAGAAGTTTAAACATGCTTCTTTTCTCACCAAGCTCTTTGGCTTCGGCCTCGAGTTGGATCAGCTCATCCCGGTATTGGAGGAAAGTCTCGTGGTGAGCACCAAGGCATGCAAATACGAGGAAAGATATTAGAGTTATCAAAAAAATTAGTTCAAATATCAAGAGAAATATTGGAATCATTAGGAATTATCAAGAGTTACCCGGTTCAGCGCCGGTTGTGCTTCGTTGAACAGGTATGACGCATCTACCTCGTTTATTTTGGCCTGGTCTTCTTCAGTCACCAGGCACCGAAGTAACTGCCTATCCCTACAGGGGCGAAGAGGACCCAGGCATCTTCCAGAACCGTGATAATAACGATCCATTTTCGACCAGGATCCGTGCTCGGAGCAGGGAACCAGTTGGTTAATTTCAGGCTCGAGCTCGACCCGCCAGATTTTGAAGGTGGACTTTTCCTTAGCACCTCTAACTCACCCAACTTGGTAAAATCCTCTAGGACAGATGAGTCTATACTGTCAAAAAATCCTCGAAGGGGATCATCCGCCCTGTGAGCCTCCTTTTGGGACCGCTCCATCGTCGTTCGAGCTTCATCGAACATTGACTCTATGAATGAAGGCGATCCCGAGATATCTATAACACCGGGCGGGGCAAGACCAGTATCTCGCAAATCCTCGACCCTTACTTCGACGTCGGCCTCGCAAACTTGAGGGGGATCAGCTTCGGTCGCTTCCGCCTCGGCTGCCACCCATTCCTCGGGGATAGATGGAACGTGGGCCATGAAGATGTGGTCATCCTCAGGCTCGTCTCTGAGCCAGAGGAGTGATGCCGAGTCAAGCACTCGGGAGTTGGAGGTTTCCTTTGGCTGTCGAACCAGCCTCCTTCTCGTTTTCTTTTTCTCCGAGCTTGGTGAACTCAGGACCCTTTTTCTTTTCTTCTCCGCTGCTGTGACCTCGAGCTGTCCTGAAGTGGAAGAACCAGCATGTAAGTCCTCGTCCCCAACCGAGGGCCTAAGTTCGACGGTCTTAGGCAAACCTGCAAAAGAGAAGTAAAGAAAAAATAATAAGAACATAAAGCTTAAAAAAAGCCTAACACAACCTACTCGGAAAAAATCTTACCATGGGAACGGGCCTCCTAATGGCCCTTCGAGAGTTTGCGCCATGAGCGCTCAGAGTAGGGCATCTGTGAGATGATGCCTTCGACCCACTCCTTGAGACGAGGAACAATGTTTGGGACTCAAAAAACGGCTGCACCACCACAAATACCAATAAGAAAAAGGAGAATTAACTCATAATCAATATTTGAAGGAAAGTTTTTACTTACGTGATGTATTCCACTTCTTAGGGAATGGAATGAATTAAGCAGGGATCAAATCCGAGGTCCTCACCCGGACAAAACGATCCTGCCATCCTCGGTCCCGGTCCTCGTCGATACTCAAAAATGTGGCTTTGCTAGCCCAACGAACAAGCTTTATCAGCCTCCCCCCCTAAAATAATATTCGGGGACTGTATAAGCGGAGCAGATGATCGATGGTGAAGGTGCGCAAATCAGTTTTATTTACAAAAAGTCGGAGGAGGATCACAATCCTCCATAGTGAAGGGTGGATTTGGCCGAGGCATACCTCGTACCTCTTGCAGAAGTTTATGATGACCGGATCCACCGAGCCCAGCATAAAAGGGATAAGTGTAGACACTTAGGTATCCCTCAACATGTGTAGTAATGGCCTTCTCAGAGTCGGGGACCAATACGTATTTATCGGCCCAGTTATAGTCCTTTCGGACTAAGGGGAGATCGTCTTCGGTGATCGAGCAGATAAATCTCAATGCCTCTTCACCACGACCCTGCACCGAGGAGGGTTTTTCGACCTTGAAGTCGTCAGCACCTCCGGAATGAACATCTTCAAGGGAGGTTCAGGAGCCGTTCCTCGATAGCCACATTAGCAGGAGGTCTCCCGAGGTCGACCACATCGGAAGTAGTCTCGGCAGTCATTTGGGAAGTAGAAGTAACCTTTTGGGGAACAAATTTTGAGGTTTTGGCCATTGTTCCAAGAGAAATCTTGAAGAAGATAGAAAACTGGAGGCTGAGATGTGTTAGCCTGAGTGGATGTTGAGTAAAAATTTCAAAGAAATCTCGAATACCGGAGGTAAAAATGCTAGAATGTGAAAGGGGGTAGTGAAATCCTGAGGGTACGAGGGTAGACAGTTTACCGCAAAGTGAGAAATGAACGAAAGAGGGGGTATTTATAGTGGTGCCATGATGTTTCGCCTCTAGGGACAACTGGCTGACGGGTGACATGCATTTAATGCCATTATGACATGACTGTCGAGACGTTTATGGTTTCTGTCGCTTATGTCACGGTGTATCGAAGAAGGGATCAGGACATTCATGTCGTTTATCATCAGTTTACTTTCCGAGAAACGAGGGGACTATCTGTGTACGGATAAAAATCGGGCTCATGATACACTCTGGCCTCCAACAGGGTAAACTGAGCTCGAGATATAATTGTTAATGATCGGAATCGAAGCAAGGATATCCTCGAGTCAGAGTATGGGGGCATGATTCGAGACCAACCTAAAACTTGAAGGACTTCGGAGGGCGTCGCCGGGTAATCAAGCGCGGCCAACATGAGGCCGTAATATCCGTGACCGGCTGGATATCATGGCATGGATCTCGACACGTATCGATGTAGAACCGACAACCAATTAAACAAAAGATTTTTTTACCTTTTATCGAGTTATACTTAGAGTAGAATTTCCCTAATATATAAAGGAGGTCTGCTAATTCATTAAGCATATTATAACACGTATTCCAAAGCAATATATTATTATTTTCTTTGTTATTAGCTCTTTCTCTTGTTCATTAGAGCTGGCCATAGCGAGCCTGGATCGAGGGTAAATATTTCAATAAGGCTGGAACTATCCTTCTCCTGTGGTTTGAATCTATTTTATCTTTGTTTGTTCAATTTGACTTAATCCATTGCTTTGTATTAAATTAATCCGCGTATCTTTAAAATCACTTGCAAATTTTATTATTATCCGATTGTGAGGGTAAACAACTATAGGTTTAAAAAAACTCCACGGGCATTTGTTTTTGGGCGTGACCCACCAGCCTTTTTCTGCCTCCACTTTACAATAAAGCTAAAGCAAGGAAAAAATAAATAAATAAAAAGAAGGTATCAATAAGGGGAAAACAAAATACAATCACAAAGCTTCTCAACCCCACAAGTAAGAAATACTACTAAGTAAATGTTACTCAGTTGACAATGATATATTGGTTTCTTCAACCTCTTATGAGTAAAGCAAATACAGCCTTGAAAGCCTTCAAGAAAGCCTCGTTTTTGTGCACAAAAAAGGAAAACTAAACATCTAGTGATTTGTACACTAGATCAAAAAGTAGTGAGAGAGAGAGACCGACATAGAGGAAGACGAAGGACTGCTTATGTGTTCATAACGCGCAGAGAAAAGACAAACAATAATCTTTGAGTTGAGTTGAGGATCAGCTAATAATCATAAGCAGTAGCAAATGATGGCTGGAAACCCTACTAATTGGTGGAGCATGCTAATGAATGGAAACAATATGCATCAACAATCCGAGCATATTTCTTCTTCTTCTTCTTCTTCGCATTTTTATGGAGCTTCAAATTCTTCATTAGATGACAATTCAACCCAAGATTTCTCTGCTCGCTCATTGAGCCAACTACTTCTGTAAATACATATCTTTAATTTCTCTCTCTGTCTTTTCTTTGTCATGTTTACGTAGCTTGGTTCAATTCTTGTTTACCTTTATCATGTTTTAAAGTTTCAAAGATTATTTTTTTGCTGATTCCGAAAACTTTCCCCTTTGGTTGAGCTAATAATTATCATTTGATCAATTTCTAAAGGTCTTCATGCTATGAGCTTAGGCGAATACAAGATCTAGAGACAACGAGTTCAAAATGAGTGCAGTTTTATTATATGTATATGTATATATAGTTCAAGCAGCAAGAAATGAGCACAATTGAACACTCAGAATCCGCCCTAGCTAAAGCAGCCTTTTGTTAATTATTACTAAGATTTATATTTTTGAGTCTTGGTATTACCATGTTAGAGTATGACTAAGGTGAAACTTTTTCCTATTAATTATGTTGTTAATTAATTACTAATCTCAATTCAAATTGCAGGAGTGGATTTTCTGGTGATGAAGAAAAGTTTGGTATTAGTCCTTTTCATCAAGCAGGAAACTCAGAAGACCAAAATTTGAATTCAGTCCATATTCCATCAGCTTCTAATTTTAGGGTTAATCCTATTGATGATGTAAAGCCAGAGCTTGGCCAATTATACGACTATCATCATCATGTCCAAAATGAATTTCAAGCATCGCTACAAGAAAAACTGGAATTACCAACGGAATTTACCAAACACGCCGCGTACACGTGTCGATCTCTTCTTGCTAATTCTTGGTCTCAACATCAAGATATGCCATCACCAGCTAGCTCTTGTATTACAACAGGTTTATTAAATCATAACGTTTTGAACTTCTCCAGTAATAAAAATAGCAAGGGGGAACTCAAGCATCAACATCCAGACAATTCATCTGAGGTAAGAAATTAAAAAGAAAAAGAAAGATAGGGTAAAAAGTTGATTTCTACATCTCATCTTTGCATATATATAAGTCAATAAATTCATCATTAGCATTTTAAAAAGGAGAAAGTGATACATATAAATGCCAAAATAAGTTCATGATTACCATTACGAATTAATCATACAAAAAGATAGGTTAATTAATTACTACTCCTAGCTAATATTTACTCTGAAATTTTTTGGTTGATCATCATTAGCATTAAGTTTGAACTTACTTTAGTGGGTAATATGTTTCTTTTTCTTGACTTTATTGACTTTCTTTTATGCCTCCATTAAAGTGTAACAGCACAAGCAGTGGTGGGATAAGTAAAAAGGCTAGGGTTCAGCATTCTTCAGGCCAACCTTCTCTAAAGGCAATTTTCTCTCCTTTAGATACTCGAGCAATAACAAGAAATTATATTTACTGAAAATATGTAGCAAATTAAAAGTCCTTAACAGAATTTTGTTGTCTTTTTCGAAGCAGGTAAGAAAGGAGAAGCTAGGGGATAGAATAACATCACTCCACCAACTTGTTTCTCCATTTGGAAAGGTAAAGTAATTAGAGTTTTAACTTTTAATTTTCTTACACTATTAAGTCACGATAATTACATACATAATTGTTCACAAAAAGTGGTCGATAACCTAAAAATAAGTTAGGTTACTAGGTTAAATACATTGATATTTAAAAGCTTTTTTACGCTGTCACTGTATACAAATTAAGTCTTACTCTTTCTTTCTGTTGCTTAGCTTCCTTCCCATGCTGGTGAAACTGTACACTGAAATGAAGGCCAGGAATAAACAAAGAAGACTAGACTAAATTGAAGGAATTTTATTGTTATTAGTGTACAACAGTTGATAGTTTATGATGAAATCCAGAAACACATCAAGATTCCCTTTTGCTTTAATCTTACCCATAAAGCCCTGTCTTAAAGTTTTCAACACAAAAAGAAGTTTTGATCAAGAAAAGAAAAAGAGAAAAAAAGAATAATATGGCTTTTTGTATTGCTGAGATAGACATGTCATGTTTCTCTTTTGCAGACTGATACAGCCTCCGTCTTGTCAGAAGCTATTGGCTACATCAGATTCCTTCAGGATCAAATTCAGGTCTCTTTTTTCTTCATTTTTCCACCCTATTTTCGAAAGCACATTTAACATATACTAGTATACATTAATAGTGTTGCCAGTGAAATTGAATATGTTATACAGTTGTAGCAGGTAATTAGCCCTGCTTCATTTTTCAACTCACTAGTTTTACTTACTACAGACGATTAACTGTAATTATCTTTAAGTGATTTGATAATATTATTACACACGGTTAACTATATTTATCTTTAACTAATATGATAATATTATTACGGATGATTAATTGTAATTATCTTTAAGCAGGGGCAGATCTAGCTTATTATATGTGGTTCCCGTGAACCTAATAACGTTTGCATATACCCTACATATATATAAAAAATCCACTAAATATTCATAAATATTTGATCGTGAACCCAATTATTTATTGTATATTTACTTAAGGTCGCTATAAGAACGCATAAACTTTAAATCTTGAAAACAAAAAGAAAAAAAAGGATTGGAAAAATTATCCCCCCAGTACAGTAGTTTCCTTTACAGAAGCTCTTTGCTATTTTTGCTGTAATTTTGTTTTTACTTTTTGCTTTATTTTCGTGCACCAATGCAGGCATTAAGCTCTCCATACTTGGGGAATGCATCAGGAAGCATGGGTCACGTTCCCCAACAATCAGTGAGTCCACCATTTTATATATCAGCTGGCATTTTCTTTTCACATTTTCCGATGCACGACCAAGATTCTGCAGTCTCACACATTCATATATACACGTGCGACTGACTAATCATATGTTATTAATTGATTAATTATGAAAGAATATCTCTTCCTTGAATTCAAGAAAATAGTTAAGTTATTACTGCCCAAAACAGCTTGATATATTGTGCCTGTTTTATTGGATTTCTCACCACCAAAAGCAAGCTATGTATGAGAGACTTTGCATTTGTAAAGCTAGTATCAAACGTAAAAGTGATCTTAAAGAGAAATGACGTTAAGTTCCCAACTTCATGAACTCCAATAATAATTGAAGTTCTTCAACTGTATGATTTCGTATAAAAGGGATTTTGTTTTTTAGAAAAAGGGCTTAATATACACTAGTTAGTTAAGATAAAGGGCTAAAGTTTTGAACTGATCGGAGTCTTTTAGTTCTTGTCTCATAGATACTGATTTAATTCTGATCCATTTTCATCTAGTTTTTGGATGGTAGTTCCTGAAAAAGGAGGTCCGCATATATGCAGGTATATATATATTCTGCGTAGAGTTGAAGTTATATATATTGTTAGTATTAAATTTTTCAATACTAACAGGTTATCCAAAAGATAAACCCATAAAAAGTGAAACCTGTAACCTTGAAAATAGAGCAGTTTACGTGCTACAACAAGTAAAGTGACTTAAATTGTACCCTGATAGTATATCGTATAGCTTAAATTCTTTCATGCATGTGACATACTGCCATTTACTGGTATCTTAATTAGCAAAAGAAATATTGAAATTAGTCTACTGATCATGATAGCCTAAATTAGCAATTATCCAACTTCCTTTATCCCGTAATTACAACTACTAACTGCAAATGAAACTTTTTGTAGGATTCTCAACACAAAACGAAGGATTTAAGGAGTAGAGGGTTGTGCTTGGTTCCTATTTCTTGCATGCAAAATGTAGGAAGCGACACGGGCGCCGATTACTGGGCTCCAGCTCTAGGTGGATCAGGATTTTGATGTAACGAGTGTTTACTCTGACGATGGGATTTACGTTAATTAATACACTGACAGTGTAAAGATCTTTATTTTACACTGCTACTGCCGAGACGATGATGAAGTGATGATACAATGGAGCTAGCTAGCCTCTGTCCTCCTGGAATATTGAATGATACTCCATATAACATCATCAGCAGTCATTTTCAGCATGAAAGTCAGAGCTGACTGTTGGTGATGCTATATCTTTTACATTCAAAATCGGATGAAGGATGGTCCGATTTTCTTGAATTTATGAATAATCATACACTACAAGCTAGTACTTCATATATAAGTGTTGTATATGTAACTTGAAAATCACTTATCAGCCATTGATCATTTTATCTTTCATTTCAAGTAAATATTTCTCTTCTGTTTAAGCCAAATGGAGATGGAAAAGCATAACGAAGGAAAACTTTGATTATTGAATGAGACTGGCTGGTGACATATAGTGTGAGATTGTGACTAAAGTTGAAGCTTGACTTTTTTCTTTTATCTCATTAGTTAAGGCTAATTAACCAGTTTCAAAGTTGCACTATATATGCACGTGTTATCGCTCAAATACCAATAAGTGGATAATGTTTCCTAAACTTTCTGTTTCCCCATTATTTTGCTTCTCCCCAGGCAATTTGCGTATTTGCTGACGCACAAATGCCAGTCCCATGGTTTATGTGGATGTTGTGCGTAAACCCTACCTTGATATTCTTCTTTTTTCAAGTGGGAGCTAGGTTATGGGAGGTGAATCTCGGACTTAAAAATAGTGGGTTATGTAAGGGCATTGCGTGCCTTGGGAGTCCCCGCCCATTCAAATCAAAATAGACGAGGATATGTGATTAAGGGGCAGGGTGAGAGAATCTCATAATACGAGGGTTAGTGACTAGTCAAGTCATCAAACTTAGCCATTTTGATCAACATAGGTGCAAGTAGACTGGTCAAAGCATTAAACTTAGCCATCTTATAAAAGTCGTGGCTACTTCAAGCAAACAAAAAACGAGCCCCTATTCAAACCAAAAGAAGTACCTCATCTCACTTACAAGAAGTTGTTAGATTGGAGTTCGGGCTCTAAATTGTGAGAGTTTGCTTTTTATCTTTCTGATCATAGCGGTCTGATCAAATAGGAGAATCAGACCCCTATTGACGTTTTTACTAGTCATTAATAGTTGGCTTAATTAGTACTATTTATGTATGTGTTGTGAACACTTTCATTTTTTGCCTCTTATCTTCTCTAGACAAGCAAAATTCGAACAGATAGAATATATGGTCCAACTACATAACTTTTTCTTTTTTATTACTTTCATGGTCGTGCCTTGTGGCATGTCAGCTCTCGTACTTTTGAAATGGTTCATCAATAGAGATGTTCCCACATGTGCCTTTTCTTCAATGGTACTATCACTCTTTTATCTATCTTTTGGTCTATTTACATTTCAAAAAATTCATATGCCATGCAGACGAGAGAGCAAAAACTGGAGTCTACAAGGGACTAGCGCGCGCACATGGATTTTTCTTTGACAGAGTCTCACTTCTTTAAGTTTAAGTTTCGCTTGCTGCTTTTCTTTTGACATGAGTAGTTAGTGCCCCTGTCTACGAGAGTTCTTTCTTTATACAAATGTTTATATGCAAAAAAGAGACCTTTCCGAATACTGTCTCATTCAACTAGCTACTATTAACTTATGTGCTATGTCTAGCGGCTTTAGCTAAATCTATGGGTGGCAAATGGGTGGGTTGGGCTGAATTTGAGCAGATCAAGATGGGTTAGGTCAATAAATAGATCATTGCCCAACCCAGCCCAATGTGTACTTGGATTAAGATGGGCTGGGTCAAGATGGGCTAAACAATGGGTCATAGCCCAACCCGCCCAACTTGACCCATGTTTTAGAACCATGCTCATTTTACATAAACAAATCCTTTTACCTTTTATACACCTATGTGTGTTCTCTACTTTCTTAGATTCTTCATAATTTATTCATTCCATGCACTGACGATAAATTTCTATATATTTAATTTTAAATTTTTAGCGAAAAAACACATATCTCCACGGTGTGGGATAATACTAGGTATGTTGTTGTTGTTATAGCGAAGAAACACATATGGATTAATATTATACTCAACTATTCATGAGCTTTTATGAATTTCTAAAACTAAATAAATATTTAAAAGTGTATAGAAAGAAGAAAAAAAAGCAAAGAAAATAGCAGTTGAAAAAAAAAAGTTTTTTTTTCCCGATGTTGGAATTGTTGCATAAACAATTCATTTAGAAAAGAGCCTTCCGGCCACACATAATTTTAAGAAAACTTTGTTGATTAAATCTTTTAGAGAAATAACCCGGACAATTTTCTATACAAACTTTGATTTATATCTATTTATGTAGTTATTACTTGTTCTTTACAATGTAACACAAGAAGCCCTACTCCCTACTTAAGAGTATTCCCTCCTTTCCAAAAAATAAAATACTATTAGTATTTTGAGAATTATTATTTTATACTTTAATGCCACACAAGAGGGGGGAGGGGAAGAGGGAGGGTGATTTGTGTGATGTCCAATTTTTGCGTGCACTGATTATAGAAAGGCCTGGTTCTTTTATGTATTCCTCATACTACTGTTGCAGAAATAGTAAATGCGGAAAGTAAAGAACACAAGTATTTTATGTGAAAAACACCCGACTCAAAAGGTAAAAAAATCACGACCTACTACTCAGTAGGATTTTCTCCAACACTTCACTAAATCACTGAGCCAAAACAGAATTTACAAAACTCTTTGTAAACCTAAGGATTACCTCTAATCCTGTTGTGGCAACCAACCTCTAACTATTGCGACAACTTCAAGTTAACTCTAACTTGAATACTTAGAGTACCTAATACAATTGCCTCTAGATAAAGATGAAAGGTACCATTTGAAAACACCTACTACAATGAAACTAGAATAAAAGACAGACACTTGGAACTGGTTCTTCTATTAAGTTCATATAACTTCAGGTTCGCACACTTGAATCACACAAGAATTGCTTGAAAAATGCCTTGCTTTTCTCTCAACTCAAGTTTAACTTCAGCGTTTGTGCGTACCTGTAAAATGAGAACATCCTGCAATTTATAGAGTTAGTAGAATAGAAAATAACTAGAGTTCTGATGCTATACTCTTCTATGGTGGAAGAGTTCTAGTTATTTTCAACTTCTAACTCCTCCCTTATCTTGGATAAAGTTCTCTTCGAGTAAGGAGTCATTCTCCTTATAATTTATGCAACTTTTTCGATCAGGAAATATCAGATATAACAACTTAATCTTATCTCCTTCAAGTGCATCCCTTATGCTCGAATCTGCTCGTGTCTATGTACACTGTGTATGGACCTGGTTCATGCTTGATTTCCTTTGTCAATCATCAAAAAAACTTCACTTGGGCCAATAAATTTCCCATTTTTGATGATGACAAACTCTGTGCTTTTCATAAGGATAGGCCTTGTGTCAACTCAGCTCAACATCAACACAATGTTAGAACACTTTCCATTTTAAAGTCACAAATCATCAAGGACCAGGTTCATTAGGTTATAAAGATCACAATCCAAAGTAAGAAGCACAACCTATCTTCCCCCTTTTGGCATCATCTAAAAGTTGAATAATTATGTTAGATAGGCAGATTTTAATAGAAATTACTCATGGCCACTCGGGCTACTTCAAATGCAATCATGGAGTCAATCATCATTTATCAATCTAATGATATTAGCCATCTAAGAAGCATCAACAAACATTTAGAGCACAAAAACAGTTGATTATCATTGATACTAGTCATCCACAAATCATAAAGAAAAAAAAACAGTGGATCATGAGCAAAAAGAACAAAAAAAAAAATCCCATCCGGGTCACTGATTTGTCTAACTAGGCTATAAAGGTTTCAAGGTTAGGAAGGACCAGGTTCTTGGTTTCTGGCCTGAAGTAGCTTCAGCATATCATGAAGAATGCTATCATTCTTCTCCTTCTCCTTTTCAAGCTCAGCCTTGAGAGCATCCCTCTCAGTTTCTACTTCAGTCAGCCTCTTCTTCAGCCTCTCAATTTCAGCATCCTTAGCCCCACTTTCTTGCACCAAGGCTCGCACTTTGGTGTTCATAGGTACCTTCTTGGATAAACCAGGTTCTTTGGGAGTGGTGTGGACTTCATAGTCACAAGCAATCAAAGTGTTTGCCCCAAAGTAATCCTTCCTTGTACCGACTTCCCATTTCTTGATGGGTACCTTGAAGTGTGCTACTACAACCGTGAGAATGAAACCATAGGGTATGGCATGAGTTTTGGTGCCAGTCAGAACCCTATCAAGAATTTAGATGATAAACCCAGGCCAATTTATTTGCCTTCCACTGTCCAAACATTCCATAAGGACCAGGTCCATGAATGTGGCAATGTGCCTTCTTTCCTGCCTAGGCAGCACAACTTTATTAACAAATTCAAACAACACTTTGTGGGGTGGATTCATCTCACTTTTGTATATAGCCTTGGATTGAAGCTCTTCTTTATTGTCACCAAACTTCCTTGTAATAGCAAGGGAGGTAGTGAGATTCTCTAGACTTGGACATTTGAGTTTCTTGTAATCGTTGTACCCTTCACCAGGTACACCTAAGATCTCTCCTAGTTACTTGTCATAAAAACTCACTGTCACCCCCTTCACCACACTAGTGACTCTGCCATTTGTTATCTCACAATTTTCCATGAACTCCACAATCTCAGTTCTGGCAAGCTTTCCATCCATCTGAAGGACCATGTCCTTCCAACCCTACAGTTGTAACTTTTTCAGCAGCAGAATCATGCCTTCCTCCTCCATGTCCCTGAGGAATCTACCTTTCAAGATGGTTTTTTTTTCAAACTTAACCATCTTGTCCTTCTCCACATCAGGTTATTCTTCTCCTTCACTCTCTTATTCTTCCATCACTTTTCTAGACTTCAAGGTAAAGGGCTCTGCAGACTTTGTCTTTGAAACAGGCTTCTTTGTGGAAGTCTTGATTTTCTTTGCTTTTGGAGTTACAACCTCAATTTCTTCTGCCTCCTCTTCATCACGAAGAACCATGTCCATCTCCTCAATTTCAACTGCCTCAACAGGCTCAACCATCTTCTTCTTTCCCTTTGCAGCAGCTTTTCTCTTACTTTCTTCATGAGCTTTTTCCAGTTCAGCTCACTCTGCTTCTTCTGACTCCTTGTAGTTCTTCCTCTTGTAGGGAGGAGTCTCTATAGGGATAGAAAAGGCCGCCTTTCTCTTCTTGTTTTCCCAACTAGCAATACCAGGGACTTGAACTCCCGGACCCATTTTCTTTTTAGGATTATAACTGTCAGACACTTTTCTCAGTAGGTTCTCGAGGGGTTCTTGCACAGGTGGAACAGGTTCTTGA